TGGGCCACTGTTATTTCTACTTTATATTAACGACCTACCACGTCAAATACATCATCCAATGACTTTATTTGCAGACGACAGCACAGCTATAATTGAATGCACAAATAAAGCTCAATACGAAAAAGACATAAATGATACACTTGAAGAAATAATAGATTGGCTTAATAAAAACAACCTTGTTTTAAATCTACAAAAAACAAAAGTAATGCACTTCCATCAACGGCTAATGCCTACTAATATTATAACTATATATAAAGACGAAATAGTAGATACCACTTTAGTTACAAAATTTTTGGGATTGTGTATTGATGATAGGTTGACGTGGAAAAACAATGCTGAAATTGTGTGCCAAAAATTAAGCAAGACCGCGTATATTCTTCATAACCTCTCGAAAAAGCTAAATATGAACACGTTAGTAACAGCATATCACGGTTTAGTTGCTTCATTACTGAGGTTTGGTATCATTTTTTGGGGTAACTGTAGTGAGAGAGAAAGAATATTTAGGGCCCAGAAGCGTTGTCTTCGATCAATGATAGGACTGAAACCGATAGAAAGTTGTAAACCTATTTTTAAATCATTAAGGATTTTAACATTAACTTCTCTGTATATACTTGAAGTTGCCCTATTCATTAAGATGAACGGTCAATTGTTTTCAACAATGATGGATCTAAGAATGCGCAAAGGACCAATGAGATCTCAATATAAAAGCCAACTTTATACAGGTGGTTATAAAACATCTTTACTTAAAAAGAGTATTTTTTCTATGGGTCCTCTTATATATAATAGATTATCTGTACATTTAAAAGAATTACCCATTACAGTATTTAAAAAGCAGCTGACAAAGTTATTATTAGACAAGTGTTACTACTCGCTTAAAGATTTTTTTGATGATGAAAGTTTCTGTTAATCTAAATTTCTGATGTTCTATTATAAGTATTATTGTATAATTTGTGTTGTGCCTAATTATGAATGATTTGATTGTTATTAATTAATTTTGTTTTGTTTAAATTTAAAAATTGTATTTCATAATTTTATTTAACTAATTCAATAATTTTGCATGCCGTAAGGCAAAATGTACTGGGATTCTCCATAAGTTAAAAACCAACATATTTGTTACCTACATTTTTGGCAAATAAATTATTTCTATTTCTATTTCTATTAACCCCGAAGGGGTAGGCAGAGGTGTACATTATGCTACTGTACAATGTAACACCCACTTTTCACTATTTATGTTATGAGTCCCATGTAATAGGGGGTGAGCCTATTGCCATATACCGGGCACAATTCCAGCCTCCGTACTACTACTGAGAATTTATAAAAACCCAGTAGTACTTCGTCCGACCCGGGAATCGAACCCGAGACCCCTTGAGCGGCAGTCGCACTTGCAACCACTCGGCCAACGAGGCAGTCCTTTTATATGATTTAGTTATTTATCATGTAACGTAACATACATAACGATACGAAGGAATGGAGTTGAATTATGCTAAAAATCTAGGTTGAGGCCATTTTGCCGTGAGACATCTTTGATCTAAAAGGGAATTCCTTTCTGATATATACTGGAGTCCCCTGAAAGATGCCAGGCTAAAAATATTTACTATCAAACGGATTTATTTGCATTAACCTATAACATATTAATTTAATTTTTTCCTCTAGAGGAATTAAAAGTATGTTCGGTGACTTACATCTAATCTCAAACTCTGTCAATAGATTCGATTGCTATAGCCATTTGCCGACAGAGAGGTATATGAGACTGATCGTTAGCGAAAAGAAAGTAGGTTCGATAGCTTGGTCAAAGACGTACAGTAGCCAGAACATCAGCCTACTCAAATATGTAAATTGTTGTCATTGGATTTTCGACTTTATATCTGAACGATAGAGTTGAAATTCTAATAAAGGAAATTGACAGTAATGGGTAGGTAGACGTGCTGCACACTGTGTAAAATTTAGCTTATTTTATCTCAGGGGACCAATAGGCACCTGAATAGGTAGCGAATCTTTAACTTATATTGTATTAAATATTAGAGGGGACGAATGGGTACCCTAAAAATAATATTTTTTATTAAATATTAATTGGTCCCCTACCAAGACACCAATGGGCCGAATTCACAACTTTTATGTTGGGGGACGAATTTTAGGGGACAAATGGGCTCTGGCGCTAATAATGATGTATTACATTAAAAAAGGCAATATTACGGCGTAAGATTCCACCAACCTGCGTTATAGGAAGGTACTTACTCTGCATTTTATCTGCATTGACTTTCCTTTTACGACAAGGACGTAATAAAATTTTAAAGTAAGTACCTACATTTTTGTTTTTGTCATAAAATTTCCTTTTCCCGTCGTTTCCGAACAATGAAATAACAGCTTGATTCAATTAATTTATGTCGTAAATAAGTATACAACAACACAAAATTAATCTTTTTACCTTGCTTTCTTTTGTTAACAAAGGAAACAAAGTCAAAAGATTAATTAGAAAATAAAAAAAATATTCACAACTTTATCAAATCTGATTAATGAGTTGCTATAAGATATGACTTAAGATACAGAAACTACAATACAAATAATGCTTTACAAAAACAATCGACTGAATTCGACTGCCTCGTTTGGCTTGCCTCGGAGACCGCTCGCCCGGCAGTGGCACTTGCGAGGGGTCTCCGGTTCGTTTCCCGGGTCGTGCAAAGTAGTACTGGTTTTAAAATAAAACTCGTGGTAGCACGGAGCCTGGAATCGTGCCCGGTATATGGCAATAAGCTCACCCCCTATTACATGAGGCTCATAACGTAAAATATTGAAAAGTGGGTGTTACATTGTACAGTAGCATTAGGTGCCGTAATGTGTACCTCTGCCTACCCCTTCAGGGATAAAAGGCGTGATGTTATGATGATGATGATAAAGTATCTACTTTTATGTTTTTAAAACGTTACGGCAGATATAAACCCACATGCATCACCCATTCGTTAACTTCAACATTATTTTTATACGCATGTATTTGAGGTTATCATGTTTTTTACGTTTGCTAGTGACAGGTCAAATAAATGAAAAGCTTGGGCAACAATAAAGTTTCTAGTACTCCACTATTCAGTTCAATATTTTGTTAAACTCTTTGTGATTTCAATTGAAAAGAACCTGTCATGTGTGTATTATAAACATAAAAATCACAAATATTCGATACTTCACTGAAAAACCTGGATTTTGTTATAGGGTATACGAACAGACGGATCACACCTAATAATAACCAATCGGCGTCGCCCATGGACACCCGGAACATCAGAGACAGTACAAGTGCGTTACCGGCCTTTTGAGGAGATTGGGAAGGGATGCTGGGGGGCGGGGGTAATTGGTCCTTGGTAATTGGCGAAACACAAGGCAAGCGTTGTTTCACGTCGGTTTTTAATGAGGCCGTGGTATCCCTCCGGCTGAGCCGACCCATTCGTGCCGAAGCGTGACTCTCCCACACTTAGATACTTATTATAGAATTGTTTCACATTTATTATAGAACACAATAGCTTGAGGCATAATCGAATCATTGCAACGTACAACGTGCAACTATATCGTATCTATGCATAATGACAAAATTGCACACCGCAGCGAAATTTCCTTGTCTGCTATTGCCAAACACTCGAAATTCATATTAATACAAATATTATGGTTCCGTATAGTTGGTCTCGGAAACAAATTATCTACTGATAGTATAAAACGTTAATACGACAAACATGGCGGACTAGCCCCAATTATGGCGGACCAGCATCGCGCTCATATATATTTCAGTATTTACTCGCGGGGAAACAAAGCGGATTTCCCTAGAATAAAGCTAATAATACCGAAGTATCGGAGTGGAGTGTAAGTCAGGATCGAGTAGCGATTTTGAGGTGTATATGAATTTCTGACAATGTTTGAATGTTTTTGTGACTTTAAAAGATTTAGATTTTAAACAATAGACTTGAAACTCGTTATAAAAGCTATTTTTCCTTTTTAAAACTGCCGAAGTTTTAGTTTATTGAACTAATTTTCCAAGTAACATTGAGATGAGAATCACAGCATTGGTAGTTCAAATTGTCTTGCACTATTTCGATACTATTATGATTTGATTTGACTTTTTGAGTTGACTTTTATTTTAAATATGTTTCATTTAAAAAGACACTTTCATTAATAAATTTTTCCGTGTTAAATGTAAGTACCGTTACTGCAGCAGTCCGCTGCCGCTCACCACTTGCCCCCCGCCGAACTCCCAGTCGTCAATCCCGAACGCCCGGGGCGAGGACTCGTTGTTAACTATGACAAACACAATTACCCAGTACACACAACGCCAGTACATCAGTACACGCGCTACAAGTGATTACGGTCACTACGACTCACTTGATGAGACCCCAGTTTATAGTTCACACTTAATTGGGGTATTGTATGCCCCGTGTCGGAAATATTTGTTAGTGTTTGAGGGTTAAAGGTCACCTTTTATTACCAAACTCAGTTCCACGAAAGTGTGTCAAGAAAACAATAGCTATCAACTCCGAGGGTGGGCGTAAAGGGAAATAGGGAGGAAGAAAAATTGAGGGTTCTTGCTTTCAATGTAGTTTTACAAGAACCAAATGTAAATTGTAAGCGAACTTTCTTTTATACGAAACTAAAAAGGAGCGGTATTTATAGACCTACGTCTACACTGCTACTATTCGCTCAAGAGTTTCATAACAATGTACCCTACATAATATACATTCAGCAACTTAATATCGACCTATGTTAGATGTTTAGTTTACGATTTCTCGTAATCCGATGACGGCTATTGACGTGTATCGAGACATTACCACGTCA